GACAGAAATAACTGGGTTACGAGCATGAAGAACGTCTGGGGTTTTATACCAAAACATTAAAACCTTATAAGTATTTTCCCTGAACACCACACATGTAAAAGACCTGGACGCGGCCTCCCAAATCTTACTCCAATGTTCCAAAGGGATAATACACTGAAGGGCCTGGGACCATTTCCTCATATAAAGTTGTAAGTCTATAGTCAAGGGAGAAGTGTTTTGTAATAATTTATAAATGGAGGAGATTAGACCCCTTTGATAGGGCCCTTGGGTGCAGATGAGTCCAAAGGGAGTAGGCTTCTCTACCATTAAGAAAGAGGTTTTAGAGGAAAAAAAAAAAAGTTAAGAGGGTATGTGTTTAGCAGTTTGCAATTCAACAAAGGATTTACGTTACCAAGATACTGGATTTACCAAGGGTCTTAACTGAACTAGATTAGCTTTAGCACAGGGATTGATACGGCCAGGGGTCAAGCTGTTCGGAAGATTTGGATTAAATATAATGTTAGTCAAAGGTGAGCAAGGAGAGGACAGAGAAAATTTACATCCAGAACGCCTCCGTATTAACAGCATAAATTGCATTGGTGCAAGCAAATGAAGTAGGGAACAGGGATGTATTGCGTGTATCGGTAACCATTCAATCTCAGGGGATTGAGCTGGTTTGTGGAGATCAAGAGCCTTGATTTGGTCTCGTGTAGAGGTAACCTTGCATAACCTGGGAATAGAAGATTTAGCAAGCAATCGATGTTTCGCTGCAGACAAATGGTGTAACAAAGACTGTCTAATTTAGGTGGTGTTTTTTCTTTAAACTGGAACCAATAGAAATACAAAGGCCTCTGATGATGGCCTTGTGGGCTTCCCAAAGGGTTTATTTAGGTGAAAATAAGTTTCTAAACCCCAAGACAGCTCTTCTCGAAGCTGCTCCAAGCGTAGAAAGCTTTCATTGAGGCGCCAATGACAAACTCTGGGAACGGAGTTAGAGAGGACAATGTCTAAAGTTATCGAAGCATGATCTGACTACGTTATCGAATTGATCTCTGAAGGGACTAAAGAAGAGATCATGGGAACGGTAACAAAAAATTGATCCAGTCTAGAGTACATGTGGTGTGGATTAGAGTAAAACGTGAACTGTCTGTGGAGGGGTGTTTAATCCTCCAGGCGTCAAAGAGGCGGTGCTCTCTGATCAGTTTGTGGAAAGCAGTAGATGTAGAGCAAAGCCTCTTTGATGGAGTGGGGGAAAATAACAATCTGTCTTTTTAGGTCACATGACTAGGTTAAAATCTCCTCCAACTATCATGTATCGAGTCGATACTGAGCATAGCTTGTCTAGGGTTTGGGAAAGAAATGACAGTTGACCAAGGTTGGGAGCATACAAATTCAAAAGTATCAGCGAAGTATCTGCATACATACATTCAAGTAAAATATAACGACCATGTGGATTGGCCCGAGAGGATGAGACCCTCAGGGAGCAGTTTTTCTTAATTAAGATAGCTACTCTGGCTTTCCCGGATGGGTCAAAGGCTGAGTAAGATTGAGAGAAACTCTTAGAGGCAAAATTAAAGGTGCCATCCTTTTTAAAGTGAGTTTCTTGTATACATATAACATCTGCCCCCAAGGATCTGAACTCCGTCATAGCCATCCATCGTTTTTTGATTCAATTAAGACCCTTAACATTATATGACAAAAGAGTTAAAGCCATTATGAAACAATGTCAAGAGTTTCAGCTTCATATCCTGAGTATACAATATGGAGATCATTGATAAGACAAAGAAATTAACATACAGTAGATAAGCAACCAGTAGACAAATAAGGCAACAGGCCTAACAGTAACAGTTGTTTGCATAGAAATCAGGGGCCGTTAGGAGGACGGCCAAAAAGATAGAAAAAGCTAAAGATATCATTAAAGATATGAACCCGAGGCATCGAAGATGACTCAGGAAATCAGAGCTGGGAGCCTGATGTACAAAGAGGGAACACAGCAGCTGTCTCCAGATGACAGGTGCCTGCCTCAGCTAGCCTTGAAAGAGTTATATTTAGGACAATTGCATAGCCAAGGAAAATGGGTATACATATACATAGGAAAGTCCTACTGAGAACATAAACGTGGGATTGAAGTGGTATCTCCAAGGAGATCAAAATAGGGAATCGAGGTAACAGGCCCGTTACCAAGAAGATGGACCGTGGGAAGTCTCAGGTAGGTAAATCAGGCGAACCATATAGTCTCGGCCGTTGGGGAGTTCGAGGGAACCTCTTCATCTTAGTCTTGGCTGGTGTCCAGATCTTGCTTGGAGTAGATGTAGGTCTCGAGGGAGCAGATGGTTGCAGTAGAGCATCTTCTGGCAAAGGAGGTAGCCCAGTTGTTTGAAGAACGCATTCACTTCATGTAAGTCTTGAAGTAAAATTTGAGAGTTGTCCTTGGAGACAATGAGTTTAAATGGAAACCCCCAGTGATAAGTGATGTGGTGCTGTTGAAGGTGAGCAGTAACTGGCCTCAGGTTGTGCCTCTTGGCCAAGGGGATAGGTCGCTGAAAATCTGGAGCTTGTCCCCTTTGAATTCAAGGGATGTTTTGTTGCAGGTGGAGATAAGAAGAGCTTCTTTACTGTCGAAGTAATGAAAATAATAAAGTCTCTAGGTCTAGCACCCGCAGGTGGTTTCAGGCCTAAAGATCTATGGGCCATACGCCAATCGATATCTGGGACCTTCGGGACCAGAGATATAAAAAAGACAACAAGTATCGTTTTAGTTGGGAGTCGGGGACTGATTCAGGGATGCCATGAACCCGAATATGTTGACGGTGTTCCCTGTTTTCCAGGTCTTCTTGTTGGAGCTGTAGTTGTGTAATGGTATACTTTAAATTTGTGTTGTCTTCTTTCAAGACTTGCACGTATTGTATCAATTCGTCAAACGTAATTTCAAGATGATCAGTGCGTTCCCCCAACTGTGTTATCTCTACCTGCAACTCCAGGGCAATTTTCCCAATTTCATTGGAGATAGTGCGAGTAATGTTGTGAAGAAATACCTGTAATTTTTCCTTCAGAATGTCTGCCATCAGGTAGGAAGCTGGAGGGGTTCAAGATTGCAGGATTGGAGTGTCTGTGTCTGTGTTGTCTGCCCCTGCCATTTCTGCAATTGGTTTGGAGCACTCACCTGGGCCACCATAGCCACTCAAGCTCGGGGATGTAGGCCTGGTAAATAAGCGGTCATGTATGGAAGGCCTCGATTCTGGAGGAGGTGGCGAGGGAGGCTTCAACCGCCGGATTTTTCCCATGTGTGGGCACTTGGTTGTCCTGAGGCAAATGAGGGCTCTCCCGTGGCTGTAGCAGCTTTAGAAGATCAGCAGGAGGCTAAAGAAGGCTTGGCGGTCGGCGGTGCTCACCCACTATACGTCCGCCATCTTGAGATGCTGCGCATGTGCACCATGTTTGCTATTTTAATATAAAAAAAAAAGCTTTACAATCGCTTTAACTCTGCCACACATGCAAAAGAGGCAGAAATGCTGGTTATGCATTTTATGAATGGTTCACAAATACAAGGCATTCTGTCTGTGAATGGACAAGCGGAGAATAGGTGAGTAAATGACACTGGCTTCTTTGTATGAGAGCCACAGTGGCCCAAAAGTGTAATGAGAGCTTTACTACGAATTAATGAAAATGTCTGTAAATATTAAAGAAAGGGCAGTAATTCTGGAGCCGGAATACAGCTGGTGCAGAAAAGTGCATGCTGCTGAACATTTTTTGAATGCACTGGAACTGAACGCAGTGGTGTGAACTAGAGTGAATTGAAAACATTGATTTTACTGTGCATATGTTTAGGATGCATTTAAAAACATATCTGAAGACATCTGGTGTGAACAAGCCCTAAATGTGCCCATGCATGCATCAGTCATTTTAGACCTATTATGCTAGTAATTCCTTTGCATGTTGTAAAAACATTGGTCGAGATGAGGAATTCATCTCTCTGTGTTTTCAACAATAGCAACAATATATCACCTTTTGCTTCTCCCCTAGCTTTGTGGACTACCGAATCTTTCACAAGTACCCATAGGTTTGTATAACCAAATCACATACGTGCCCAAAAGGATGGTTAGATCACAATATTTTTTCTTTTCCTATTTAAAATACCCATGATTTGGAGAGTGGCATTTAATATGTTTACTGCCACAATGTAAAAACAGGTCATTCAGTGATCTAAAGCATGACATATTATCTCTGGAAAGAGAAAATGATTGCCTGCCGTGTGCTGTACCCAGATGCCCTCATATCTTTTTTGCTAATGCATTTTAAACCAGTATTTAAAATATTTAAATGAGGAACCACATGGCTATATATATGTATATATTTTTTTATTTTAGAAAAACTTTCATTTTCAATTTATTCTAGACAATATATGTCCCTTCAGAAATTATTCTTGTTGATTTTTAATTTCCACTAGATTGTGCTAGAGAAAGTAGGGTAAAACTTGAACAGATGGTTTTCATAAAGAGGATACCAGCAGGGAAAATTAATGTACCAGCGTATGCTAACTGGTATGTGGAATTAAATGTTTGGACCAGAAAATTAGAATACAGGATTTCCTGGCACTCACAAAAACATAGTCATTGTATTTTATTAGTCAATTAAATCATTTCAAATGTGTTTTCTGTAATGCATGTGATACTTTATTTACAAGTAGAGAGTATATTGTATATATATATTTTACATATTATTCTTTCTGATCAGTCTCTGCCCTAAAATATCTAAACGTATAATTTAAGGAGCCTCTCTTTATCTCATATGCATATACCTTTGCACATACACATACTAGGCCCAATTAACTTACCATCATACTATTAAAGCGTGGGAGGAAATCCACACAAGCATTGAGAACATTCAAACACCATGCAGATACTGTCCTAGGACTCAAACCAAGAACCCCATTGTTGCAGATGTGTAACCATTGATCCACTGTGCTGTATCTATCTAAATTCAAAAAGGGGCACTTTTTGGACACCATGGACGTTTCCAGGCAGAAAAAAACAGTAAAAATGCAGGCAGGGCACAGGACAAAAGCACTCGGGACATAATGTATGTGAAATGGCTTGATACAGTAATGTTATACTATGTGATTTTAGTGTATTGAGTGAATGTCACTTTTAAAATTTTTGAATTACCCCCCGGTTCCGTCCCCCATACGTCCCAACGCTCGCAGGGAACGGAACCGAAAGACGGATGGTGGCATCGGCCGGAGGAGATGGCCGGGGACGCTGCAGGGGGCACATCGCGGGAGCGCAGGACAAGGTAAGTGAAATAGGGATCCCGGAGCAACGCTGCAGGGTATTCCTGAGTGTAGCTCGGGGTTACTGCTTTTGGTACTGAAACTTTACCCCGAGCTACACTCGGGAATACCGCCAGGGAGGTTAAAGAGTAACTCCAGTTCTGTTGAGAAAAAAAAAAAAAACTCCTCCGGGGGATCAATATACATTGCAGGGATTGTAAAAAAACTTTGTAGCAGATTCCTACTTTTTGTTGCTGTGACGAAATAGCTGTTTATTTCACCAGATGATTTACATATTGATTCTTAGGGTCTGGTATATTGTTAATCAGCTGATGCACTTTCTGTGTTCTAATGAGAAATGCTGCAATGTCTACATCCTGTTAGAGGTTTGTAGCCCTTGGAGTTTATCTCTCAAACACTTACATGTCTATTGGAGGGGATGCCTAAAATCTGACTTATCTGACATATCTTAGTGCAGCCTTATGGGAAAATCAATGAGCCAATCACACAAGCAGAAAATTACATTTTTGGAAGCATTCTGTACACCAACTGTGTACAGAACGCCTCCAGGTTGCCATATTGCATTGAATATTATAGAAAATTACAGTGCTGCAGATTGAAAAAGAAAGGTCATTTTAATAGCATTAAAGTACAATATGGATCGTGTAGCAAGTGTATATGCTACACTATATCATTATCTTCTATTTGCTAACATTTTTTTTTCTATGAAAGTGGAGTTACCCTTTAAGGTCTGGGAAAACCTGAATCCCAACCCATAGAATGTGCCTTCCTATGTTGGTCCATTTGTTTCACACATTCAGCCATGTAAAGTGAAACAATTAACACCTATGCAGACTTCCTAACACTAAGGGATGGGATTATTTAACTACAGCCAGGCTCAGCCATGTAAAATACATTGCCTAGCACATGAGCATGCACTGTGGCATGCTGCTTCGGTAACCACTGTGTCCACAGGACACAGCAGAGTATGGCTTCCAGTACCTGACCTAATTGAGCAGCTGGGAGATCATGTGATCGCTGTGCATGATCACAATGTCAACAAAGATGTTATGAATGAATTTCATTCATAACAGCCGTGCTTACTATAGTGATGCTGTGATTGGCCCACAGCTATCACATGGTACCTGGGCTAGTCACAGCACACTGTACCATGTGATTGTAGCCAATCACAGCATGTCAAAAATAAGCACAGCTGTTATGAATGGAATCCATTCATGACAGTTCCAATGATTGCCAATACAGCAATCACAGTGTAGAAAAAAAGAAAGAAATCTCTGGACAGCCCCCCGAAAGTAGTATAATGACTCTGTACTGCACTTTTGACAGTATGTAAAAATAAATAGTGAAAAAAAAAATGATTTAGTTTCTTCATTTTCCAAAAAATTACAACTTCAAAAAACTCACTATACCTCTTACTAAATACCTTGGACTGTCTACTTTCCAAAAAGGCAGTCGTTTGAGATGTATTTGTAGTGTCCTGGCAGTTTAGGGCCAGAAATGAGACCTGTCAGTACATCAGGCTGTCGGTACATCAGAATTGATCAATTTTCAGATATACTGTATATACCATAGTTTGTATAACTTTCACACAGAAATGAAGCAGAATACATTTTAGCCTAAATTTTTGAAAAAAAGATTACAGGCATACCTTGGTTTACGAATTTAATTAGTTCCACGGGACTTTCGTAAGCCGTTTCCCATAGGAATGCATTGAAAACCAATTGATCCGTTCCAGAGGTCAGAAAAAAGTAAACGCTACTAAAATACCGCATGAGTTATTTTATCAAGTCATGTACTCCTAGATTGTAAGCTCCAAGGAGCAGGGCCCTCAAATCCCCTCTTGTATTGAACTGTATTGTTGCTGTATTGCCTCCAGTTATATTGTAAAGCACTGAGCAAACTGTTGGTGCTATACAAATCCTGTATAATAATAATAATAATATTTTAGTAGTGACAACCATGTGTTAATGTTTCAGTTGTCAGCGGGTTTCCCCACTGAAAGCTGAATGTAAAAGAATTGCTGGCAATATAAAAAAAATTGTAAAAAACAGCATGGGGTCCCTCCTCCCATCCATATCAAGCCCTTCAGGTCTAGTATGGATTTTGAGAGGAAGTCCCACACCAAAATTAAAACAAAAATGGTGTGGGGTCCCCCCAAAATCCATACCAGACCCTTATCCCAGCATGCAGCCCGACAGGTCAGGAACGGGGGGGGAAACGAGCGAGCGCCCCCCCCCCCCCCGAACCATACCAGTGCACATGCCCTCAACATGGTGGGGTGCTTTGGGGCAGGTGGGGCTCCCCCCAAAGCATCTTGTCCCCATGTTGATTGAGACAAGGGCCTCTTCCCCACAACCCTGACCGGTGGTTGTGGCGGTCTGGGGGGTCTGCGGGCAGGGTGTTATCAGAATCTGGAAGCCCCCTTTAACAAGGGGGCCCCCAGATTCCCCCCCCATGTGAATGAGTATGGGGTACATGGTACCGCTACTCATTCACAAAACAACAAAAAGTGTAGTGTGAAAAAAGACAGGACACGGTCTTTGACAAGCCCTTTATTAAAAGAAAAAACTAAAAGAATGTCCCAAGTAGATCCAACGTCAACCACGATGTTCCCCGCCGCCCCGAAAAAGGAATTTAAAAAAAGCTCTGCTTCCGACGATGGCTCCCGCCGTCTGCCTGCTCCAGTGGTTTGACAGTTCTTAAACATGTAAGGGGTGGGGCCACCCTGGGACATCACCCGAGTGACCTTGCCCCATGTGACATCATTGTTGTCAGACGGGGTGGGGTTACATGCGTGACTGACCTTGGATTTACTGCAGGGGACATTCTTATTGTTTTTTCTTTTAATAAAGGACTTGTCAAAGACTGTGTCCTGTCTTTTTTCACACTACACTTTTTGTTTTTTGTGAATAAGTAGCAGGACCATGTACCCCATACTCATTTACCTGCTGGGCTGCATGCTGCAGATAAGGGTCTGGTATGGATTTTGGGGGGATCCCCACGCCATTTTTATTTTAATTTTGGCATGGGAGTTCCCCTCAAAATGCATACCAGACCTGAAGGGCTTGGTATGGATGGGAGGTGGGACCCCACGCTGTTTTTTTTATTTATTATGGTGCCAGTTTTTAACTGTAATTACTTTTTTTTCACTATAGCTCAGAGATTCAGCTGTCACTTCCCCCCCAGCTAAAAGAGAAAGTTTCCTTTTAGTTTCTTAAAAGAAAAAAAAGTTTCCTTTAACTCCCAGACAGCTAATTCTGTGAGCTATAGTGAAGGAAAAAAAAGCCGGCAATTGCATTTAAAAATCGGCACCGACATACACTTCGTATTGTTAAAAAAATGTGTAAAAAATTTGTAAACCGAGGCATTATTTTCAATGGATTTTATAACAGAGGTACACCTGTATTTGCTAAATTTTATAACAGAAACTAAGAAAAATTTGTTTTTTTCCAAACGTTTCAGCATTTTTTCACTTATATAGCAAAAAATAAAAAACCCAATGGTGATTAAATACCAGTAAACGAAAGTTCTATTTGTGTGAAAAAAAATATAAATATGTCATTTTGGTACACTGTTGCATGACCGAGCAATTAGATGCCATGGCGCCCCTCCCTCCCCTCCCCCATACCGCATGGCTGCTCAGTGGGTCTTGCACGGAGACTGTTACTTATGACCTGCCACAGTGCATCTGCCACTTTCCTTGGTTGAAGAGAGATGAGAGGGCTTCCCTTGCGGCTCTGGTCCGAGCACCCCTGAATGTGGTGACAGAGGTACAAGGCTCAAAGAAGCACGGGTGCAGATAGCTTGATAGCAGATGACTGCCACAGTCAGGAATGTAGTCAAGGTGAGCCAGGATCATACACAGTGAGACATCAGCATGGTGAGGAGGCAGGCTGGGGTTGGTACCAGGCTAGCAATCAGAGCAAGGTCCAGTAGCAAGCCAAGGTCAGCACCAGGAGATCAGGCAGAGAGTAGTCTAAGGCAAGCTGAGGTCAGAATCCAGAATTTACAGAGCTAGGTCAGGAGCAAGCCAGGTCAGCAACAGAAGATCAGTCATTACAAACAGGAACACGGATCACAAAGCTGAAGAACATCCAGCGATTAGTACACAGCAGTCTCCTTTAAATAGGCAGCTTGATGCCAATGGGGGAAGACGTGTGCGCTGATGTGTCAGTGCATGCTGGGTATTAGCCTGGGCTTTTCTGTGTGCTGGTACACGTGCACGAGCATTAGCTGCACGGGAATGAACAGTATCTGCACAAGAATTAGCATTAGCTGTAGAAGAATTCGAATTAGGTGCACTAGTTTCCTGACAGCATCACACCTCGACTAGCAGCAGGTGCAGTGGATCACTTCAGCACATTTCTCCATCTGTATAGCTGGCTACTGGAATATAGCAGCAGATGACTGGCTGGATACCAGATCATGAATTGTGCACAGTGAGTAACGGCGACCCTATGTAGTTCTCTAGTTCACATGAGCTGCAGTACACATTTATGCTGGCTGGACTGGAGACACAAGATGAAGTTGCTGTTCAGGTACCGATATTGGTTTACCAGCTGTATATAGCTCTACTTGCTACATCATTTATACACAGCATAGCCGCTAGAGGGTACAGCACCGCTGGCCATCAGTGTCTTACAGATACAGTATAACAATTAGGAAAATGTACATGAACCCTATACACTGATCATTTACTAAATTTGGACTGTCTTTACATATACATGGGATTTTAGATGATGCACACCTATTGGTCCATAGTGGGCTTTTAGGCACATGGTGCCTCTGCTTATAGGGTCTACCTGAGACTTTTACCATAGATATTGGCCTCTCAGATTAGTTTGGATTGGTCTTGGTTCACTGGGCTGGGTTTGTCTGTCATTAGAGGATTTTACCATCAGGAGGGATTAGTCAGGTGTGGGTTCCCCTGCTCTTCCCGGTGGGGTTGGGGGCTGACGCTTTCTTGGGGTGGTTTTTGGTTGGGCCCATCCTGGGAGGTGGTTTACAGGTGGTGGGGGATTTGGTTGGGGCTGTTGTGTCTACTGGGAGTGATCTGGGTAGTTTGGGGGGCTTGGGCTACTA